AGGACACTCGATGGTTTTTCCTGCATCTGTGATAAACATCAACAAAAATATTTTCATGGTCATATCACAAGCGGCGCCGTCAAACATCCAAAAACAGCCCAAGTTTGTGAACCAGCACGATCATTTCAAGGTCATGAGAGCTGAAAATATGCGGATCCTTCTTCCCATCTCTGCTGAGAAAGCAGCAGGATCCTTAAAGGCACAGGCCTCTCTGACAGGCCGTGGGACTCAGTGGCGGGAAGCGCAGGGCCACCGCAAACAGGGGTCCTCTGTGGGAAGCGTCATCATAGCCCATGTGTTCGACCCAACGTTTCTGTGAATGCACATCACACCGTTACACAGTGCTACACGCACACACACACACACGTGCATGCGAATTAGGAATATAAATTATAAATTTCCTGGCAAATAAATACATTAAAAAAAAAAAAAGGAACTAGAAAGATTCGCCGAGTAAGGAAGCTGTTTTTGCCCTAAGAGTAAAATCAACTGATGGACTCTTCCTTTTGGTGACTTTGTTTGGGGAGGAAGGCAAAGCTCAGAGCCCAGGCCCCCACGGGGTCGGCTGAGGCCGCTCAGGGTAAGGGGGGACAGGAAGGAGCCCGCCTCGGGCCCCTCCACCCCTGCGCCCCGTTGAAGGCGGCCCCAGGACATGGGCCCCTCCAGTCCCCTGGCAGGAGCCATCACAAATAGTCCCTGGAGGGAGGCACACGCATCCCACTGTTCCTGAAAGTAACGTTCAGGTCGGTGACCGCTCGCTGTCCCCTCCCTGGCTGAAGTGCTGCTCGTCTCCGGCCTCGGTTCCATTCCAGGCTTTTTGTCCGCTGCCCGGCCCGGGGCCTCCCGCTCCAAAGCTGCTTCAGCGTCTTTCCTCTGTGCTCCCCTAAGGCCTTATTTGCCGTGTTTATCACTTGATTTTTGTTGTTTGACGTGCTGGCTCCACGGAAAGACGGTGACCTTCTCAAAGGCAGAGACCACGCCATCTTCATCTTCCGTCCCCAGCACTTGGCACTGTCCCCCTGGCCCAGCACTCAACAGACGGCGCATCCGATGGTGTTTACTCGGTGAGCGACTCACCCTCCCCGAGGGGGTGGGACCCAAAGGGGAAAGTCTCAGTGTGCGAACAAGGCCATCTCCTCTGCCTCGCCTTCCAGAGCCAGCTGGCTTTATCCCCAGGCCATAGGGCCCCAGTGGTGGGGATGATGCACCTGCAGGCACCTTTAGGAGGCTTGTCTTGGAAGGAATGAGCTTATTCTGCGGGACATAACAATCGAGAGGGACAAGAAACAGAGGATGAGGAATTAGAAGAACATGGAAAATGGAGAGACCCGAGGGAGCAGCAGCCGTCACGAAGGAGACTAAGATCTACGTCCCAAGCACCTGGTCTGAGTCCTGCCCGGCCCCCTGCCAGTCGTCTGGATCAAGTCACTCAACCTCAGGCTCCTCTTTGGTTACGTCGGAGCATAAACGAATCGACTCTCCTGCGCGTGGTCTTTTTAAAAAACGAGATAACGGATTCAAATCGCTTCGTAACCCACCAGGAGCGCGTACACTGGACTGCGCGTTGCGGGTTTTGGTTATTCGTGCTCGAGACTTGGAGAGGGAAAGAAGCACAGAGAGAAGAGTAATCGGAGACGAAAGACACTCTGACAGAAGCAGATTCCCAACAGCCATGCGGGCACTGTCACCGGGGCAGGGGGCACAAGGTGTAGAGCAGAGGGCGCGCCCCCGGAGTGGGAAGAACGGAGGCCTCGACGCAGGCTCTGTTCAAACCTGAGCTCCTATCGTTCTGACTTTAGGCAAGTTATTCAACCTTCAGATATTCACTACCCTCGGCTGGAAAATGAGAATGGAAATTGTGTCTCCCTCTTAGATACCGGTGAGGATTCAGTGAGAGTCAATTGTTCTTCTAGTAAATATGTATTAACCGTTATGTGCCACACATGGTTCTTGACACTGGGGGTATATACGATGATGAATTAGATACACAGGACCCTGGTTTCAAACTCGTGAGAAGACAAGATGGTAAACAGATGAATATGGAATATAACATTAGAAAGGAAAATGGCCTAGGAAGAAAAATGAAGCGGGGCAGGGTGGGGG